TTGAATATGTTTAAATTTAAAATTATATAAGATATTAATAATGTTTGAATTCAATTTATTTTTTAATAAAAAAGTTATATTATTATATGATTTTTATATCATCTAAATTGTATTTATTACGTCATCCGGTTCGACCCTGGTTCGACCGGTCGAACCGTGAACCGCTCTCTCTACCGGTTCGTTGCCCGGTCCGGTTTTCACAACCTTGTTTATTATTTAAAGTGATGGTGAAATAGATAGGGATATTATTAATAAAATTCAAGTTGGATGGTTGAAGTGGAGGAATGCGTTGGGCCTGTTGTGTTACAGAAAAGTACTCCTTAAACTTTAGGGAAAATTATATAAGATTGTGAGACCAACAATAATTTATGGTGCAGAATGTTGGCCCTTAAAAGAGAAGCATAAAATTAAGTGTTTCAGAGATAACGATGCTCAGGTGGATGATGATGCTCACTCTTAGAGATAGAATGCAAAATGAGTACATGTGTGAAAAGGTTGGCGTAGCTTCAGTGGGAAGATAAGATTAGAGAGAGTCTCCTTAGATGGTTTAGTCATATAAAGCATCGACCTTTCGATGACCCAGTTAGGAGAGTAGATGTATTATATTTGACCTATATTCAGAAAGGTTGAAGTAGACCTAAAAAGACTTGGTTAGACAGTATTAGAAAAAAAAATTATTAAATTTAAATGAGGATTTGACTTAACAAGATCTAATGGAGAAAAGGATTCATGTAGCGCCACGTAGTGGGATAAAAGCTTCTTGTTGTTGTTGTTGTACCAACCTTGAGCTAGAGACCTTTCTGATCACTTAATTGGGTATTGAAGCATCACTGCTTAGAAACTGCATCTAAACAATGAATATCTTTGTTATAAATACAGCATCTCTAATAGCACTTTGTGCACTCCATAGAAGATAAACATCAACAGGTAGTCCCTTCTAGGCAAAGGAAAACTTTAAGCAGCTGAAATAACAGCACTGTATACCATTGAAAATTGTATAAACATAAGGTTTAGGGATGGAAAACAAAAGTTCTTCCTCCCCTTAAAGCTTTATATTAGTATATACGTAGATGGAAACAACCTGTTCTGACATCATCGCCAATCACAAAATCACTAAAATTGAAATTACAACGTATTTTATTGTTTCTCTTGCAAAAGGATTCGGTTTATTCGTCCAAAATTTGGACCTCCAACTGTGAAAAGTTGGTAAAAGATGTATAGTAGAAAAGAAGCATATCAAAGCAAGAAGAAAATAAAACCATGGGCTGGCTTATAATCTTAATATTATTATATGTAAGTAATCAAACAAATAGGCTTTAAATACTGACGAGAAAAAAGGATCATTACATGCGTTTATGCTGCTAGAAATATACATGAACAAGTGAATCAAGATTATTACCTCTCGGTACCAGGAAAGAAATTGAAAGCATGAGCCTTTTCCAAATGCCAAGCATTGTTGAACAGCAAATACTGACAATTCTGTGGGAAGTTTAAGGGGTGAAAGAAAGTCCTTGGTTAGGTTAAGGAAATGCAAAAATATAAATTAAAAAAATTTGTAGCAAAAAATTCTAGAAGTTATGATCAGAAAAACACCAATACCTCCTTGAAGCTTTCCCAACCACAGCTTACATAGATGATAAATTCAGGCCATGTCTGATCTTTCGCCCAGTTAATACTGGTCTTGCTTTCCACATGAACTGTGGCTTTCCTTGCACGCAAAATCCACGGTCTCTTTTCTTCTTTTTCGTTTATGATGGAGCTAAATTTAAAAAATAAACAGCACATCCTTTCACAACCACGCTGACATGTAGCAATAGGATAAGCAAGAAACACATTAACATATAGCAACTGGGTAAGTGTGTGATAGGAAATACTTGATTTCAAGTAGTTCCTAATCAAAGTCTGAAGCAAATCGTGATAATTTCTGCTGTTTACAGCAGGAAAACAGTAAATTCTGGAGCAAAACAGAGAAAACCTGAGAGGAAAATGGAGAAAAACACGCCCAGACACTTGTACTTTACTAGTAGATGAAAGAAAACTTGCAAAGATACAAAGATCCTCTATTCGAGAGGAGGATCGCACTCTCCCAATCTCTAGAATTCGTTCTAGAGCCCAAGCCTCCAAGAAAACCCTAATTGCAATCAAACATAACATAAAAAAACTCTCTAATTCCCTCATCCCCTTTAATACAAGATATTTCCTAATTTAATTTCCCTCCCAAAACTCATCTCCCCACTCCGTTTGAACATTCAAATCCTTTGGAGAAGTGGGGCCCGCACATATTAAGCAATTTCAGTTCTCCTATAAACCAGCGGCTGGTTATGCCGCTGGTTCTGGACCGGTTCATAGAGAACCGGTCTAACAATACCGTCCTCCCAAAGAACCACCTTGTCCTCAAGGTGAAAATCGGGAAATTGATGTTTCACCCTCTCGTATGGCTCCCACGTGGCCTCGTAGTCTGGAAGGTTCTTCCACTGGATCAACACTTCCTTAGTTCCTTCTTCTTTCTGGCGAACCCTCATTAGTTCTAATGGTTCCAAAACCTCCGTCAGAGTCGCTGGTACCTCGGGGTTGGCTGTATACTCACCAATGACCTTCCTCAACTGGTAAATGAAAGACTGGGTGTATGGTCGCCGTTGGTGGTATCTTCAGTCGATATGCTACTGCTCCGATCCTCTCCAGCATTTCATAAGGCCCAAAGTACCGAGGAGCCAGCTTCTCATTTCTCCTGTTGGCGACTGTTTCCTGTCTATATGATCGGAGCTTCAAATACACCTTCTACTCCACTTAAGATTGGATGTCCCTCCTATGCCCGTCCGCTTGCCATTTCATAATTTGTTGAGCCCTCAGTAAATGTTTCTTCAATTCTTCCAGCACTTTATCCCTCTCCTCCAAATACTCCTCTACTGAAGAAACGGGAGTACTGCTACTCCCAAAATGTACCAAGTGAGGAGGGTCCCTTCCGTACAACACCTTGAATGGGGTCATTTGTGCAGACGAGTGGAAAGAGGTGTTGTACCAGTACTCCGCCCATGACAGCCACTTAGCCCACTGCTTGGGCGTATCCGACACGAAGCATCTCAAGTATGTTTCCAAGCTTCTATTGACCACCTCAGTCTGGCCATCTGTCTGCGGGTGGTAAGCGGTGCTCCTTTTCAGAACTGTTCCCTGCAACTTGAACAACTCTTTCCAAAAATGGCTAAGGAACACCTTATCTCTGTCTGACACGATTGCTTCTGGTACTCCGTACAATCTGACCACCTCCCTGATGAATGTTGAGGCTACTGTCACCGCGGTGTACGGATGTCGGAGATGAATGAAATGAGCGTACTTGCTCAATCTATCTACCACCACCAACATCACTGTGAATCCTTCTGAACGAGGCAATCCATCTATGAAGTCCATGGATATCTCCTCCCAAACCTATCCTGGTAATGCCAACGGCTATAGTAGTCCTCCTGGCGACATTGCCAGATATTTGTTCCTCTGACAAACTTCGCACCTTGCCACCATCTCCTCTACATCTCTATGCATCCCCTACCAGTAAAGCTCGGCCGCCAGTCTCCTGTAGGTTTTCTGCACCCCTGAATGGCCCACGACTGCGCTCCCATGAAATTCTTGGAGTAAATTTGGGATGTGGATCGATGTTCGGGGCACACAAATCTCCCCTAAAACAGCAGTCTGTCTCACTCCAATGAGTACCCTGGGTGACTACCATTCTCTTTCAGTAAATCTGACCTGATCCTTCCCAAATCTTTATCTCTAAAACTTTCTTCTCTGATGGACTCCTAATCGAGCAGCTCTCCCATACATCTGGACAAGGCATCTGCCGCCTTGTTCTCCACTCCTGGCCTATACTGTATCTCAAAATCGTACCCTAACAACTTGGACAGCCACCTTTGATGCTCCTCTGTCACCATCCGCTGCTCCAGCAGGTATTTCAGGCTCCGTTGATCTGTCCTGACAATGAAATGTCTCCCAAGCAGGTAGGGCCGCCACTTCTGGATAGCCAACACGATGGCCATTAATTCCCTCTCATAAACTGATTTCAATCTGGCTCTAGCAGTCAATACCTGGCTGAAATAGGCAATAGGCCTCTGATTCTGCATCAGCACTGCACCAAGACCGTACCCGGATGCATCGGTCTCCACAATAAAAGTCTGAGTGAAATCTGGCAACGTTAAGACCGGCACCATCATCATCGCCTTCTTCAAGCTCTCAAACGCTGATGTGGTTGCCTCCCCCCATAGGAACCCGTCCTTCTTCAACTGCTCAGTAAGCGGCCATGCTATGGAGCTATACGCCTTCACAAACCTTCTGTAGTAACCTGTCAGTCCTAGGAATCCCCTCAGCTCCTTCAAATTTTTTGGTACTGGCCACCTTAGCATTGCTTCAATTTTGGACTGATCAGCTGCCACCCCGTCTTTTGAAACCACATGGCCCAAGTACTCTACACTGGTTTGTGTAAAGCAACATTTCTTTAAATTGGCCCTCAACTGGTGCTCATGCAGTACCTCTAACACCTTTTTTAAGTGCTCCCAGTGCTCCTCCTCTGTCCTGCTGTAAATCAGGATATCGTCAAAAAACACTAACACAAACCGTCTGAGATAAGGTTTGAAAACCCTATTCATCAGGGCCTGGAAAGTCGCTGGGGCGTTGGTGAGACCAAAAGGCATCACCAAAAACTCATAATGGCCTTCATGAGTTCTTAATGCCGTCTTGGGTACATCCTCCTTCATTCGGATCTGGTGGTAGCCTGATTTCAAGTCTATCTTGCTAAAAATCACAGTCCCACTCAATTCATCTAGGAGCTCGTCGATGACGGGTATTGGAAACTTGTCCGGGACAGTCTCCTTATTGAGTGCTCTGTAGTCCACACAAAACCGCCAGCTGCCATCCTTCTTCTTGACCAACACAACGGGACAAGAGAAAGGGCTGATACTTGGTCTGATGATTTCTGCCTCTAACATTTCTCTAATCAACCGTTCAATCTCATCATTCTGAAACTGAGGGTAGCGATAGGGTCGTACGCTAATGGGTGATACCCCCTCCCTTAAAACGATGGCATGCTCCCTTTCTCGCTGCGGTGGTAACCCCTGAGGTAGCTGAAAAACCTCTTGGAACTGCTGAATCAATGGCTGAATGGAGAGAGGGATGTCCCCTCCTTCCTCCAATCTCGCCCCCTCCAAACTGTGCAGCTCCACCAAATACCCTCTGCCTGTCGACTGAATGTCCCTCACCATGGTTTTAAGAGAAACTAAGGATTTGGAAAGTCCCGCATCTCCCTTGATTATCACCTTCTTTCCCTCGACCGCCAGCTCCATCGTGAGTGCTCCCCAATTCACGTTGGTGTCCCCCAAAGTTTGCAGCCATTTCATGCCCAAGATGACATCTGTACTCCCTAGCTCTAGCGGAAGGAAATCTTCCTTCACCTGTATCCCCTGGATCGTCAGTCGCACTCCTCTGCAAATCCCCTGACCCCTCTCCATCTTCCCTGTGCCCATCATCACCCCATAACAACCCGTGTCCATCAATCTCACTCCCAGTTGATCAACGATCTGTGTGGAAATGAAGTTGTGAGTCGCCCCACTATCAATCAGCACCACCACCTTCTTGTCCTCTATCTCTCCCCTCACTTTCATGGTGTGATTTGTAGTGAATCCCACCACTGAGTTCAGGGAAACCTCTGCCAGATCCACGTGTAGCTTCTCTTCCATCTCCTCCTCTGTCTCTAGCTCACCTCCCTCCTCAGTTTCCTCGTCATCTCAGACGGTGAGAACCTGAAGAGTTCGGTCCTTGCACTGATGTCCTGGTGTGTACTTCTCATCGCAGCGAAAACACAACCCCTTAGCCCTCTTCTCCTGCATCTCTTTCTCTGTCAGCCGTTTGAAATTTCCGCCACTTCCCCCTCCTCCTGTCCTCTCCCTTAGTGCTTCTCGTGGTACTCCCTGGGCAGTTCCCTTGGGGGCTAGGAAGGTAGTCGCCATCTTGTAGGATCCCCCAGAGCTACTGCTAGGGGTGTAAACGAGTCGAGTCGAGTCGAGTATTTGCCTTATCAAGCCTGGCTCGTTTAGTCCTTAATGAGCTCGAGCTCGAGCTCGAGCTCGAGATCGAGCTCGATTAGTGGGCTCGAGCTCGACTCGTTTAGAAAATGTCAAGCTCGAGCTCGACTCGAAAGCTCGAGCTCCTTTGAAAAGCTCGAGCTCGAGATCGAGCTCGTTTGAGAAGCACCAATGCATGTGATGGGTATTATTATATATATAATTAATATTATAAATATAATATATATA